ATAATTCTGTTAGTGTTAATTTTTTTCAGTGAAGCTTTGTAGATTAAAATAATTTAAGTATATGTCAACTCCTTAGAAGTAATACCTGCTTGCAGATATTCTGCTTAACATGCAGTCTGACTTTTTTTTTAATTATGAAGAACCCAGCTGAGATATAATCTACATTTCACTATATGTTCTTTATTGCTGAGTTCATTCAAGCCTGTAGTGGATGTGGTGCTGAGAGAGTGCTGACACCAAGTGCAAACACTGCTGAAAAGTTCTTGATAGTTTACTTTAGGCACTTAAAGATTAGTATATCTCTCTCTATGAAGAAGTTTTTCATGCAGATTTAACCTTTACTCTAGGATATAATATGTCTCTTAGTCATATGTTAACACGTTTTCCCAACCTGCTCCTTAGTGCTCCATTCATAGTTGTCAGTGCTAAAGTCATCCTTCTCCTTTGTTTCATAGCCAAAATAAATTATTAGAACTCCACTAGCTTTATGGGAAGGATGGATTAGCAAAGAACTTGCTCTGTTTTGCTTGCTTATGGGTGTGTATTTCAACCGTCAGGTATAATTCTTAATTGTGGAATATGTTAACCTTGTTAGAAGGATATTTTTTTAAAGCTTCTGAGAAAAATTATTGAGGAACATGCATGTGTGTGTATATATGAATGAAAGTAGTAGTACAGTTTGCTACAGTTGAAAATAGAGCAGTTTTCATCTTTTGGAAATATTTTAAATATTCTGTTGAAGCTCCATGTTTAATTGTTTAGCCATCAGACCAGTTGATGGATTAGTCTTGCAAATGTTTTTATATACCTTGAAGAATATGTATCTTGGGTTAATTTTATTAAATATGATTATATTTCTTTCCTAGAAGTGTACAGTGATATGTCCATTTGCCACCTACAGGCAAGCACTTCAAATTACAAACCAACAAAAATGCTTATCAACAAGATTTCCTAGGCATTTTTTTGGGTGATTAGAGTCTAGGAATGACTTATATTGGGTTAAATAAAGGCTCCACCATGCTTATGGTTGTATCTCCAACTATAGACACAGAGATGCTCAAGAAGCATGAAATAGGACAAGCGAGTATGATAGTGTTCCACTTTCCAGCTATTTTCACCTTGGGCTATTTTCTGAATAGGATGTAGTTTCTGTATATTTAGTCAATACCAACGTATTTTCTTTTCGTGTGTTTGTGCAGTTGCCTCTTGATCCTGTGGAACTTTTAGTCACCGTAACATCCTTTGGCGATAGATTCCACTGATCTCAAATGCACTGTGTAAAGAACCACCTGTATTTCTTTTGAAGCTGGCTCCTACTAGCTGCTGCTTGTAGAAAAGACTTTTGGACAGGCCTGTTTGGGTAAATAAGAAGCCCCTGAAATATTAGGTCTGAACGAGAGTATTCAGAACGAGCAGGGAGCCAACAACAAGTCGAAGCAAATGACTGATCAATAGAGTGGACACTGGAAAATTCAAGTTAAATGCAGAATTTTTAAAGAACCTCTCCACTTATCTGATGATGCCATATGATAAGAGAGATACCTTATTTTTGAGAAAGGAATAGCAGGATTGAGTAGTATAAAAGACTTTTCAGTGTATTTGAAGACTGAGATAGCTACACATGCGTACGCAGCTGAAATGAAATAAAATGGGACATCGAATTACTAAAGATTATTTTTCTAGACTAATCTCATTGTTGGTTATGGTCTAATGCATGTTGTGGTCTTTGGCCAAAATTTATTTCCTAGGCAAAGGAAATGTAGTAATTTGTAAGAGTTTTATTAGAGCATTTGGTACTGTCCTGCAACTGATCATTAGTTAGAGTGAATTAAAAAAAACCCTGTAAAATACATTCAAAAACCTCAGTCTGGCTCAAATGGGACAGCAGTAGGTCATGGTGTAAACCTTGAGGGAGACTATTAGTTTCTGAAAGGAGGGGTTTAAGACCAGTACTGTTTAATGTTTTCATTTAATGATCCTTGTGCACTCAGTAAGAATGTGTTAATGAAACTTGTTCATGATATAAAACTGATGCTGTAGAGGACTGGGATATAATTTTGCTTATGACAGAGTTGTGCTGTAGCTAGAGGAAATGTAATGTGTTATTCCATACAGAATTATAATTCAGATGAGGTTTGAAGCACCATTTGAGGTATGGATATAGTACTTGCATTTTATCTAGAATACTTATGGAAGTGTTTACAGATTCCATTAAGGAAGTAGGTGAAACAATAATGAGCTAGGAAATTTCCACGTCAGACATAGCATTTGAATAAAATGTGATTTCTTGTTTGTTTCCTTGTAATGGCTCTTTTTCGTTGTAGCTATTTGTGATAGTGTTTAGTGCTTCTAGGTCTTTTCCTGCTTCGCTATTGAGTGTACAGTGACCAAAAGCATTGAAAGTAGATTATGTCTCTCAGTTACTAAACATTTATAGCCATAGGAAATGATGGTCAATTAGGTACAGCTTAGAACAGGTATGAAATTATTGACTTTGTTGATCTTCCCTTACAGTCTTTCCTTAGGAAAGTGCTGAAATGTGTTTTCTAGTTATTTAGTTGCATTAGTGGTTGAGTTTGAGGCTTTTAACGTGTTTTTTCCCTGATACCTTTGGGAGATGGATAACTAAGATGTTGATATAATAATGCAATATGCATACTGAGTGTAATTGTTTGAGAGAGAACATATACTGTGGGGAAATATTGAATGGATCATGAAAGATGATGACCATTAGTCTTTTCTTTCAACTATTAAAATTAGCTTTAGGGTGTGTTCAGCTGTGACTTATGAAATTGTTTAGACTAACGCAGCCTTTGATGATGTCTGATGTAGAGAAAAATGCTGAAAAGTATCATGATAAATGCACTTTCCTTTCACTTTCGGCAACCTCCATCTTCACCAATTAAATTTTCAAGTATTGTAGTGAGCTCTCTTAAAGAGCAGAGCAACAGATGGGCAGTGTCATAAGTGGAAAAAATTATTTTGCTTTTCTTGAGTTTTTACACATTTAAGCTAACAGAGAATACTTTCAGTTATCATCATATGAAGCTAAATATTTAGAACTTGATATTCCATTTAAAAAACTCTTATGAGGATTAGTTGCATATGCTATTTTGCTCAGACTGTTAGCAACTAAAAGGCGCGCTTTTTTTTTCCCCATAACAAATGCTTCTTAAAGCTATTTCAGACAGCTTACAGACTAACTTGAAGCTGTGTAATGGTGGCCATAAGAATGCAATAGAGGAGAACTGGGGAAGGATGGTGGGAGAAGTATTAGTAAGATATATGTAGCAATAAGGACCAATCATGCTACTTGATATAGCCTCAGGAAAAAACCCAAACCACCATACCCAAAAATACCAAAACACCCATATATAATAAAACATAAATGGGACTTAGCTGGCGCTTAGGATGTTGCTTGCCTATGAATGCACATAAACTGGTTATAGAAAAAGTAATTAAATACATTTATAATTCATGATGAGTAATATATCACTAATTCCAATTATTTACTCTTAATTCTGACTATTTGAAAATTGTAATACATTGTTGCAACTTAAAAATGATAGAAGAATATGTTGGGCCTGGGACATGTCAAGCCTGGAGAGATCAGTGTTATAATCTCTCCCTGCATTTGAAATCTGGAAATATTTTTTTTTCTTTTTGGGCAGGGGCGGGGGACCAGGATTTAAATTGTAAAGAATCAGTTGTTCTACTGGCTTTTGTGTATGCCTGATCAAACTTTTATGTCACTGACTGAGAGGTAATTCTGCAACACTGAGCAGCAAAAAATGTACTCTGACACTGGGTGTTTAAAACTCCTACATTCAGAAAGCTGAAGTTTGTTTGAGATATTTGCACGTTCACACTTTTTGCCTGTTTTGGAGCTGATGAGAGTTTTGAAAAGAACCACAGTGATAGAACTAATGATGTGAATACTCGTTAGGATTAATTTCATATAGCACAGACTAAGAAGTCAAGGAAGCTGATGTGGAAAGGCATATGAAACTTAAGCATCTGTCTACTGCAGAATCATTATTTTGAATTAGTTTAGAAGAGTTGTAGAGTTTAAACCAAGAGTCATATTTGGCCTGTTCTATCCAAATGCCTCTATGTTTCCCCAAAATATAAGTTAATACATTCATCTACCCTAATTTTTAGCTCTGTCAGCTTGTTCCTATTGAGTCGAGGATTAAAGATCGTCTTTGTGTTTTTGTTAACCCATTCAATTTTCTTCTCAGCTTTCAAACGGAGGAAGCAAGCCCCAGTGGTAGCTCATCTGGGCTGGTTGCTTTCTAATGTGTCTCTTCTGGAGGCCAGGCAAAACCCACCTACATGTTTAAGAGGTGTAGAATTTTGCTGTAATTCAGGGTTCAGTTGGATGTGAGAAACGTGCAGTGCGTGTCTGCCTTTACCATCACTCCAGTGTGTTAAAAATTGAGTGTGAAAAACATGGTAAGGTATTTTGAAATGTACTGGCTGGTAATGATGCAATATTTGGATCAGTAGCAGATTTTTTTGAGTAGTGATGGCTTTGTGATGCTGAGGCAAGGATTATTGTCGGTGTGTACGTTAACTAGACTTTAGGCTAAAAGAGAAATTCGTGTCTAAGGAACGAGCCTTACATTAACCTGAAACAGTTTGTTCCTGGTGTTATCAATGCTCAATAAGGCAGAAAGTATCAGTGAACCAGAGTAAGTTCAGAATTATTGCGTAACAGACCAAAAGAAAATGATGCAATTATTTATGGGATGTTTTTGTATGTTCTCCCCTTGACAAAATAAGACTTTGAGTAAATGATATTGCTCTGTTTCTTCACACTGGCAGTGTTTCCTTCCTGATTAGCACACAATTAATGCTTCTAACGTTTGGTGATGGTGGTGTAAATTGCTAAAATTAAAAATAAAGTGCATAACTTTGTAGCTGAAAATGGTTTTTCTTAGTTCTATTTTTATACAACTAGTTTTCTCTTGTTTTGTTTATTTTTTTTTTCCCCCCAGGAATGGCAGAACTCTATACAGAAGAATGCTGGCCTTGCCTTTATTGAGCTTGTCAATGAAGGAAGGTAAGTCACAATACTTGATAGCACCTCTGCCTTAGCCTTCAAGAAGTTGTGTGACTTGAAACTCTTTTAAAATAATTTTTCTTCTGCCTCTTTTGTGTAATTTTCTTTCAGTTTTACAAGCATGATTTCACATTCTTTAATACTTCGGTTCAGTTCTAAGACTGAATATGAGATTTTGCAGAATCTGTGTGCTGTTTAGTTTCATTAAATATTTCACTTATCGGTGTGGCATGGATATTCTTTTTTCCTGTCCTTGTGCACAAGTTAACATTGAAACTATAATTTGTATTCAGCTAATCTCTGAGGAAGGGAATTGGTATTTGAAAGACACTATAGCTAGGAATTGTAAGATAAGCCTCTGTCTCAAAAATTAGATTCCAGTTTGCTCATTAATTTCCTATCTACCTCGTAAAGCAGGAAGAAACCAAATCCCTTTAAGGTTAAAAAAAAAAAAATCTGTTAATATTACCAATTAGTTTAATGTTCTGTCTGTAAGCTTAATATGTATATTACTGGGACTTATAGAAAATGACAGAGCAGGTGATGAGGCCATGCTCTTTGACTTGTAGTGACTATTCAGAACCATCAATATTTTCTTCATTAGGAATCGATTGTTGAGGCAGACAAAGGGCAATATTTACTTTTTCTAAAGGATTTTTTTAAGATGTCTTAATGAGTTAGCTAAGCAGTACTATAAGAAACGCCATTTATCTAACCCTAGATTCTGTTAGTGAGTAACTTGAGCTAATAAGAATCCCAATAGAAAATAAATTTTGCAGGATTAGGACAGCTACTGAATTAAAACCAAAATATTTTATCACATATATTAAAATGCTATATAAATATTTTTTATGATTGGAGGAATAGAGGAAACGGCTATTTGAGATTTTTCTTTTAAAATGTGTAGATGTTCTCAAGATACATAAAAATAATGACCATTTTAATAGTTGCATTTCAATTTATGGTGAGGGCAACACCATTCTGAAGCAGAAAAAACATTTGGCTACTAGTCTTGATCCCAAGGGCCAAGGCAAAGTAACAAGGGTGTTCAGTTACAGTGTTAAGATCTAGCCTGTAGTTGTTTCCTATTATGTGAGGCTGACCTGTCTTGACCTTACTTATAAAGTGCCTGCTATAAATTTGGCCCTTGATTAATGTTTTATTAGCATAGATAACGTAGAGATCCCACACACGTAAAGGACAAAGTAAGGTTCATCTGTGTAAGATGATTATCATGAACAAATCAGTTGCTGAGACTGAGTTGTAAGTAGCAGTTACCAAGTAGTTATTCAGCTTGTCCAGGTCAAGCTTTTGGAGAGCATTCTATCAGTAAACCCTTTGGAATTGACAAACCTACAGTGCTCATCACAGACAGATGGAATCACTCCCCCACCTCCATAAACAACATCAATAACTTACAGTCTAGCCTTTAGCAGAGTGGTTGTCTCAGGGACAAATGATCCCTTGAAGACCGAAAAGTGTGGTTTTGGTTAGCAGCAAATATCTAAGTAGTTGTTAACTTCTTCTCTGACTTGTAGCAGAGTTGTTTTTTTTAAAGAGTGAGAATGTAACTTTCATTATGGGGAAGAGGAGAGGGGATTAATTTCTTAAAAATGGCTCATTTTATCTATCTCCATTTTCCTCCATTGCTGTTTATAGCAGCCTTTGAAGTTATTGCTGAATTGGTCATTGTGGTGCTTTGTGGCTTTTCAGCATTCACTAAAATGAAACTATTATCCCTCACAAGACACGAACTATATTCCAGAAGTACTCTTTTCTTCTCTTTATGCAGATTGCATGTTATTCTTCTTGCACGTATCCTAGCACTTATACTAACACATTTCAGGCCTTGTATTTTATTGTATTAGCTGTTGTTTTATGTATTTTTGCAATAACATTGTGATATTAAAAACTCCAAAAAGCCTAAATTGTTTAATTAAAACTTAAAAATGCAAATAGCTGAAGGATACTGATTTAGACTTCAACTGCATAATTGTATAATAAGTTAATTTTAAAATTGTTTCTATAAGTACTGAAAAAAGAAGATGAGGTAGATGTACAAAGGGCAGAACTGATTTGAGCAAGTAAGGATGGATGTCTGTGGGGGGGGACCATGATGTGTGGAGTGTTAGAATAAATAAAATCAACTAAAGGACTAGAAGAACTGCCTAGAATTTGTGGAATCACAGAATTTCTGTTGTCTGCTGCCTTGGTGGAGGAAATCTTGGTCATCTTGTAACCCTTGTAAACCAGGATTTTATTCCCTGTCTTTATTACTAATTTTTTGGACTGATTATACCAGAGGATATTCCAGTTTGAAGTGTGTTCTACTGTTTCTGTTTATCAGGCCAAATAGGACAACTGAAAAATCTTTCTGGAAGAGAAGGAGGTGTAGAAGAAAAGATCTAAATCTCCTCTTATATTTGCTTTCAAATGTATTTTTTACTTTTATGTGAAAGGTATGAATGTACCTCTCTCACAGCAGCTGAAAGTTTTACGTTTAGGCTTGCCGTGTTTTGGCAAGGATTCCCTGGACAGAAATACGTGCAGGAAGTTTGCCTCTGAGACTCGTAAGATCTACAGTGTGTATGCTGCGTTCAGAACGTGTTGGTCTGAATTTCATCATGTTCACAAGTAACTAATGTGTTACACATACATTTGCTCCCAGGCTTTCCAGATGTATCAGGCCCACTGCATGTGTATAGCAGAATTTATTTGTTTGTGCCCAGTGAAATTTTGAATCCTGAACTGGAAAAAAAAAATCTCTAAACAGGAGACTAGTATGTGAAAATACAGAACCGTAAACCTAACTAAAACTGAAATACACAACTGAAGTCTTTTGAAGGCCAGTTTACAAGCACAGTAAAAAACCCAACAAACTCTATAGAAAACCAGGAAGGTACAGAAGGTAAATGAAAAGCTAAAGTAGTAGGTATTGGAAAATAAGCTGTCTCTGTGCATGAAAAGAAATGTCAATTTCAGTACATTGCTACATTGAATAGCAATCTGTTTTTAATAAAAATGAATAAACATTGTTCACTATTATTGTAGTGTCTGGGAATACTATTGATGCTCTTGGAAACCTTGTTAAGAAGGTGCCTGTACTCACTGCTTCTCTGTGTCCTGAGCCATCTGTGCAGCAGAAGTA